CTTCTCCTTCTCCTTCTCCTTCTCCTTCTCCTTCTCCTTCTCCTTCTTCCTCTTCCTCCTCTTCCTTCTCCTCCTCCTTCTTCTTTTCTGTCTCTCCCCGTCTCTTTCTCTCTTGCCCCCCCATTTCTTTCTCTCTCTCTCTCTTTCTCTCTCTCTCTCTTCCTCTCTCTTTCTTCCTTTCTTTTTCTTTCATGCAGCCTAAGCTGGTTCCTGAATTTATTTACGGAGTAGCAAAGTTTAAGCTGAATTTCTGATTCTCCTGCATCCCCCTCTCCAGTGCTCAGATAGTAGGTGTTCTCCACCATTCCCAATGTAAGATGCCAGAAAAAACTTCAGAGCCCTCAGAAAGTCCTCTCATGGGAGGACACTGTCTCCCAAGGTGATGGGAAGGAGATCCACCAGCCAAACCCAACATACAGACAACTGTCAGCTCTTTTTCCACATGATCTTCTTATATTGACTAAAATTCCTATGATGATTAGATTCACCATGGTTTGAGCTAAATATCATCTTGTTTTGTTTTCAGTTCTAGTTGGGGCCTTAATGTTATTTATCTAGTCACCTTGTTTTGTTGACAGGGTAACAGAGGTTTGGCGTGTTAGATCCACAACGTTTCTGGAGGGGCCAGGCAGGCTGGCACACGCCTTTAATTCCAGCACGCTCTGAATCTGAAGCCAACCTGGTCTACAGAATGAGTATCAGGACAGCCAGTGCTACACAGAGAAACTGTCTTGAAAATAAAAAATAAAAATATAAAATAAAATAAAAAACCCACGAAGAAAGAAAAGAAACAAATTGCATTTCTAGATGAACTGGAGTTAGGCATTGTGGGTAGATACCAGTGGTGGCATTAAAGGTGGTCCTAGGATAGGACCATTGGGTTGTTACAAAAGAAGGAATTGCTCTGTGTTGCTCTGTGTGTAAAGTTAGTTGTGTGGTTTTTGTTTTTTTCCTCAACATCCTCTCAGTAATTCTGAGTGTGCCAAGGTCAAGATCTCAAGTCGGTGACTGGGTAGCCTCCATGTTTTTTTTAACGCTGGTGAATCTCACATTATAACGAAGCTTGGGGAGACAATTATGCCTTGGGAAGACTGATAACGTGGTTTCACTAACATCTGATATTTTTATGGTTATCTGTCATTAATTGGAAGTAATAACAGTGTTTAGCTCATTAATGGGAAGTTTTCTTCCGAGATAACAGTTTTAAGTAAATAGTGTGTGTATTTAAGAAGATCGCTGATTCATGATACAGCTCGGAGGGGGTGGCCAGCAACTGGGTGGTACGAGAAGACCAACGCTTGGGAACCACGGGGCTAAGAGGAAGATTGGGGCATTCCATTGCCAAATACCTCATCTAGGGAAACGAGCTGCAGGCGGGCACACGTGGCAAGTTGATGGCTTCCAGATGTAGAGTTGGAGGCTGCATTGGGAACAGGCTAGATAAAGGGGCGAGCCCATATGCTGCTTATGATGTGCAGGGCATCCAAGCTGCCTCTTGTCCAAAGTGGCAGCAGGGCCGAGCTGAAGTTTTCTCAGGCCTCCGTCCTTCCCAGGGGAAGGGCGAAGGAAGCTCTTCTGAGAGGACGGGGCGTGGAGGCCCGACTGAGGTATCTTTCCCAGAGTCACAGATTGTCTTTGTCACCGTGCCCATTCCAACACCCCTCGAGAGAATAACTGGTCAAGAACGAATTCAGATCTGACAGCCCAATCTCGGGGTACGGTTTGTGAATTAGAGATGCTTAGGATGATACCAGAGTCACGCATCCATCGGACCGCCCTCATCATTTCCATCATCTCTACCCATTGCGCGTCTTGTCCTCTTGTCTCTCTCCTGTGTTTTACGACACCTTGGACAAGATCTACTCTGTCCGTTTTATTTCACGGGGGGCGCACATCCATTTTCCAAGTAGGTGTGCATCAAGGAGATTCTATTAACAAACAGGGTCGTATGGTGTTGTCGACTCCCTGCTTGAGAGTTCCAAACACCCGAGCTGGGCTCCAATTCCCTCTAAACGACTCTAAGAAGGCTGCTGCTTCACACGAACTGAAATGGATTCATTTCCCCTTGGAGCAATGTCCTGACGACCTAGCCAGAGAGAAACCGCTTCTCTTCAGCGGCTCTCTCTGAGGGCACACAGGCAATTGTTGCCCGAGGAGGCTGTCGACTGGTTCGGAGAGAAAGTTCATTTGATAATTTTCTGATTTGTTTCCCTCCTGCCTTTTCTCTAATGGCTTCACTTTTTTCTTTCATTTCCCAGTCTCGAACATTGGACTTTAAAGAAACCCCCTTTATAAGGTGTATGCTAAAGTGCTCTGTTAGGTAATCCATTTTTTACCTGGAGTAAAACAGCTTCTCACAGGCAGCCTTCTCAGCCTGGTTACCTCTCTACCTCTGTATAGGGTAAAAGTTCTATGCCAGCCTATGCCAGTCAGTAAAGAAAAAAGCATGGTGTGTGTGTGTGTGTGTGTGTGTGTGTATGTGTGTGTGTGTGTGTGTGTGTGTGAATACATCTAACGAGCACATTTCCGTTTCTCATTTTCTTCAGATGTTCAGCGGCTTCCATATGTCTGTTGCATGCGGCTTTGTTCAACCAGTTGGGTATTACTAACCTTGGCCTTGCCTTTGATGGAGACCATGTGTCTGAGCTGTATCTTTCACTGGTGTTTATGCCTGAGTTCCAATCTGGGGTAGCAGAGAGAGAGAAAGGGGGGAGGAAGAGAGAAGCATTGGGAGGGGTGTCTGAAGCTATGTTTCCATCTTCCAGCATCTCCGACAGAGATGTCAGGCTGTTGGTATCTGTGTGTAGGAGACAAGCCTTGCTAGATTGGCTCTGTCATGGAGACTTCCTTTTACGGCTGGCCTGTCCTCTTCACTCTGCCATCCGGACGCACATCCCATATGGTCAACTGGTTCTGACGCTTTCCATATTCTGGTTCTGGTGCTAATTTGTTTTATTCACTATTTCCTGCATTGAGAATTGCCCATCCCGTGGGTCCTGGGGGGTGGGTGGGTGAGTGGGAGAGGATGACACTCATTTGTTGGAAGCCCATTTTCACATAGTCCCACAGTTTGGGGAATAAGTGACTATGCTTTCAATTTAACAATCCCCCCTAATCTCTGCTCCTTCAGGCCAGCTTTGTGAGATAAGATGAAGGATTTCATGAAAGTTTCCTCTTCTCTCTGGGGATTGGACGTTGGCACCGGTCCACGTCTGTCACAGCAGAGCTGCTAACAGCTGGCTGGAGATGACAGAACCGCGGAGAAGAGATGCAAGCATTGGGCAGCCTGATTTCATAAATCTCAAGCATGCACACATACCCCACTGCCCCCGCTTCAAGAACATAACCAAAAAGACTGCTTTCATGTCTTTCTCAGTGGAAAGGAAGGCTTGCCACTCAGCAGGCACAAGAACAATTTCAACTCTTCGAAAATGGTTGCATAATGTCATTTATGTCCAGAGAGACCTTCGTGGTTTTATTTGTGTTCTTCATTGTTGGCATGGCTGTGTTGAGATGGAAAAATCTTGCTGTAATTAAGCAGTACCTTCATTTATATTGGAAAGTGTATAAATCCTTTGCCTTCCAGCATTCCCCACAGTAACTGTGGAAGGATGGGGAGTCCCCCCTGCTTGTCAGTAAGATGCACCAGTACTTGGGTAGAGCTTGAAGGCATGTTGGTCCTGAGGCAACAATGGCTTGTAAAGAAAAAAAAAACAAACAAACACCCCAGGCAGCATACCCTGTAGCCATTGCCCAATAGAAATGATCCTGTGAACTTTTAGAGTCAACAACCCTTTGCTTCACTGGTGTGTGTGTGTGTGTGTGTGTGTGTGTGTGTGTGTGTGTGTACACACATGTGCACGTGTAGAGGCCACTGGATGTCGAGTCCTGTCATTCATTCTCCATCCGCCTCCCCGTTCTGAGGTCACAGATCAGTCCTAATCACATCTAGCTTTTTTTGTGCGAGCTGGGGACTTATGATTGCAGAGCAAGCGCTCCACCCACTGAGTCCTGTCCTAGGTTCCCCTCATAAATGGTCTTTTAAATAAAAGTCACATGCAAAGCAAAGTCTGGAGAGAATGGTATTGGAAAATGTTGGAGAAAGGCAATGTGGCCAGGAGGAAGATGATGCCATTGAACTTGTTGAAGTAAATGAAACTGTTCAGTGATGGTTCTTTCTAAAGGAAGATTTTTTTTTCTTTTTTTTTTTTCTCTCTCTCCCCCTGGTAGCACCATCATCCATTGCTTTGGTCCAGGCTAAAGAAGTCACAAGATACAGTGTGGCTCTGGCTTGGTTGGAACCCGATCGGCCAAATGGAGTAATCTTAGAATATGAAGTCAAGTATTATGAAAAGGTATTTCTTCCCTTTTCTCCTTCCCTCACTTCCTTCTTCCAACTCTTTTTCTCTTTCATTCTTTCCTTTCCTTTCCTTCCCCTCTCTTCCTCAAGTACTAAACATTTCTACATTGTGAGACAGCAATCAATACCAAAATCAAATGCATCTTGACTCCCAACAAAATCTGATTATGAAATGTAATATTTGGCTTGTTACCTTGGAAAACACACATTATGTTCTAATATAATTACATTTTATTTCTAATAAAAGAAATTGAGACCTAATCTATATACCTTCCATCATGGAGAATGACTCATAGCTGCTAAAATAATGATATGTTTAAGCAGATCACTGCTGTTCAAAATGAAGGTGTGGGTTTTGATGACTTTTAACAGAAAATTGGGTGAGGAAAATTATGTTCTTCAGCCCCTTATAGAAAGACATTAATTTTGCAAGTAAATTGTCTCTGAAAGGACAGAGTTCTGAAGAGAGCTATTTGCATCCAACCTTGTTCTGAAAATGAACAATCTTTTTGCTTTTGTAAGGTTTATTTGTTATGTATAGTTATGTATTCTGTCTGCATGTATACCTGCAGGCCGGAAGAGGGCGCCAGATCTCATTAGCGATGGTTGCAAGCTACCCTGTGGCTGCTGGGAATTAAACTCAGGACCCCTGGAAGAGTAGTCAGTGCTCTTAACCGCTGAGCCATCTCTCTAGCCCCTTGTTTTTATTTTTCAAGACAAGGTTTCTCTGTGTAGCTCTGGCTGTCCTGGAACTTACTCTGTAGACCATGCTGGCCTTAAACTCAGAAATCCACCTGCCTCTGCCTCCCAAGTGCTGAGATTAAAGAAATTGCTTATTGACCTTCTTAGTAGAAGCAGAAAGAGGGCTGGATTGTATAAGATTATAATATTTTTGCCACTTTCCAGACAGAAAGGAGGCAGCAAAGCAAGTAGAAGGAATAGAAGTGGATATATTGGTTTCTGATGCACAATTGTGTCCTGGTCCACATGGAGGAGGACTGGGAGGACATGCACAAGGGATGAGACTCTGAAATGAAGATCAGGATGCTGATTTCAGGTTTTTTAATAATCTTGGGGTATAGGGAAAACATCAACCATCACTTGATATTCTTTACAAATTCAGATTGTTTCATTCTCAACACCCCCAAGAATTAGAAACAAAAATAATGACCAACGTCAGTAATGACCCTGAACTCTGTCCTTTTCTTGAACCTGTAAGAAATGACACCAGTACTTTGACACCGCAAGCGCTGTAGAGCATTTCAGAGAGCACAGGGCTTGGAGAACGTACCCAGTTTGGGTTGCTTTCTTCCGCCTCCTACCTAGCGTCAGAGGACACATCTTGCCACCTCACTAACTTTGCTTTCCTGCAAAATTATAGGATCAGAATGAACGAAGCTATCGCATAGTTCGGACAGCTGCCAGGAACACAGATATCAAAGGCCTGAACCCTTTGACTTCCTATGTGTTCCACGTGCGAGCCCGGACTGCCGCTGGCTATGGAGACTTCAGTGAGCCATTGGAGGTCACTACCAATACAGGTAAAGAGACCACCCAGACACCACCCTTCCCCAGATGCTTTTACTTATAGGTTGAGCCCTACTCTGCCGAAATCCAAAGAGCTGTACATAATTTTTGGTTGGGTAAGCATTTGACCACTTTGGACATTTGCATAAAACAAGATAACCGGTGTCTACTTATTAGAAACTCTCATGCTGTTCAGAGAGCATTTTTCGCAATAGCGTCTTATCTGTCTTCCCGTGAATGAAAAATGATGTCAATGTTAGTCTTTCTGAATCTTCTATTCAACCATGAATAATGGGTTTACTAACTTGACTAATTGAGGGTTCCATAGCCACCCCACATTAAGAAAAGTTTTCTTCCTGAGAAGATTAAAGAACTCACCAAAATTACCCATTTTTTTCCCCTACTTATTTCTAGGGATCTGTTTAAATCGTATCATTAGGGTGCATGCATGTCTTTGCGTCCTTTGTACGACATTAAGTCTTGCTCCCTGGAGAGCTTGGAATGGCTAACTGAACAAAAGTTCCCTGAATGAGAGATGCCTCCTCCTTAATTACCAAACCCAAGCTGAGCCTACTTGATAAGAAGATGGTGGGACTGAATTTTCAGCATCTGTTACAGATGCTGAAGTTATTAGACGAGGGTGAAGAAGACTGATGAGAAAGTTGAGATGACTCTAAAGGACACGTATATCCTTGGTGTTATACAGGAAAGCTTTACGGAGGAGGCTTTGAGCCCACCTTTAATAGGTTGGTTTTTAATAGCTGTGTACGGAAGTGGACCATTCGAAATCCTTTGTCCCTTCTAAACTTTCCGAGTGTCTTTTCACCAAGGAATGTATTTTTGTTGTTCATTATATAAGACTTTTGACAAAGAGGCTATGAAGGCATCAAAGCCTATATTTTTAGGTTCATCACAGAACGCTTTAAAAGTATGTGTGTGGGGGGTGTTTGCTTAGGAGATGCTGTTGCATAGACAGCTTCAGAAAGTTGAATGTGCTAACAAGTTCCATCTCTTAGGATGCGCCCCCCCTCCCGCCATGTGACCTTCATGTAATTGTCGTTCCAGTGCCTTCCCGGATCATTGGAGATGGCGCCAACTCCACCGTCCTACTGGTCTCCGTCTCTGGCAGTGTGGTGCTTGTGGTCATTCTCATTGCGGCCTTTGTCATCAGTCGTAGGTAAGCACAGGAGCACAGACCCCTCCTGCTCAGTTTTCTGCAAGAGACTTTTGCCTGCCCCACCCAAAGCCACAGGCTTTTTGTATGCCAGGGGTTCTCTTCACTCTGGTCACCCCACATTCCTCCAGGATTTTGTGGCAGGAATTGGGTGGCAGCCTTCTTTCCGTTGAGAGTCCTGGAAAATTTCAGCCGGCTGCAGGAGGCCAGTGGGAGATGTCTAGATGCATTAAGCTGTGAGTTGTTACATTTACCCCGCTGGTAAGCCTGGACTCTGCTCCCCAGTGTTGAGCACTACCATTTGACAGCTGGATTTGTTTTCTTGTATGGGATGGCAGTGGTTATTGTCGGCCTCAAAGGGATGGTGGCGAGAAACTTTGATAGACACCGTAGGTACCAAACAACACAGTAGGTGCTTTGGCATGTTATTGGTTAACAAGAATGGTAAAGAATAAGAGCTCTGTGCTACCTCATCCCTCGGAAAATGCCATCAGCATCTTCAACATCTGGTTAGGCAGTGCATTTACGCCCTGTGCATTTAAGGAACACCTTGATGCTTGAAAGGGAGAGAGAGCCTGTGATGGCTTGGTTGTGTGGTCTTTGGAGCGATCTTCTCTCACTTCTGTCCAGTTGTTCACACTGATCAGTTGCGTCATGGGGTACAGCTGCTCATCATCAACCGTGCCCCACATTCAAGCTTTCCCCACCATGTACCACATCCCAGTTTCCCAAGGCGGGGCTTTTGTTTTAAGTATGACCTTCTTCAATATGAAGCTCTTCATGTGAACGAAAGATGAAAGGGACATAAATAGACGGAGTTTGTCTAGTGTCATCTCGTTAGAGCTCCGGTTGGTCCCCCAGCTGCCATGCTTGGCTCTCAGACCACTGGCGGTCCTGTTGTCCCATCCACCTATTGATGATCTCACCAGCATCAAACCAGTGTCTTTGACTGTCGCCATCACATTTGCTAGCCACAACGCTTTCGATGCACACTGATATACATTGATGAACAGTTGTGAGAGTTCGCCCGAGAGACCCACTAGTCACACGCGTTTCCTAATACCGTGATCATACCCTCGCTTTCCAGAGTGCCGTGTGTACAGAGATCCATTTGTTCACTCTATTAACACCGTATGGAATGATGTGCTGCTCTGTATGGTGTCTCTGTGTTTGTCGTTGGCGCCATTCCCTTTGACAAAGTCTGTAAGTCGATGTGTTTGACCAGAGCGGTGAGCTAAGTCTTCAAGAAGTAAACATTTGGAAGGCAATCAAGACTTTTCCTTATTTACTGCCATGAGATTCTGCTTGTGTACATGTGTCATATATCATACATTCTATGATGCCTAGGAGGTGATGCATTAGTCCCAACTCCTCCAGTCGTGTGGGAGAACTACGGCGATTACGCAAACATTTGTTTGAATTAGTGCCTATTTCAGTGTTTCAACTAAAAACACCGGGAATACAGATATGGGGGAAATGAATGAATAGCACGAGTGACCTCTCTACCTCGGGAACAGTAGCTAGAGGTCTGGCCACTGTGTGATGCTTAGCTGCGCATGAGCATTCCCAACACTTGACATGCACTGACTGGGCCATTCTGCACTTATGGTCTAGCTTTTCTGTGGATGTCCTTTCCTTCCTTCCTTCCTTCCTTCCTTCCTTCCTTCCTTCCTTCCTTCCTTCCTTCCTTC